GGACTTGGATACAGCTTTGTTACTTCGGATGTTATTCATCACCCGCACTAGCTGATGATTGGTGGAATGCCCCTTGCGGAACCCGAACTGTTCCGGAAGAAGAATGTCATGTTCCTCCACAAACTTGTTTAGTCGGCTGAGGATCAATTTTTCGAACAGCTTGCTCAGCGCTGAGAGCAGGCTAATCGGTCTGTAGCTTGACGGTAGTGAAGGGTCTTTCCCAGGTTTGCGGATCGGGATGATTTTTGCCACCTTCCAGATGCTTGGAAAGTAGTGCAGCTCCAAGCATCTGTTGAAGGTGGCAGCTAGCAGCGAGTGCACCCTCGGGCTGAGATTTTTCAACGCTAGGTTGAATATTCCGTCAAACCCGGGAGCCTTCATGTTCTTACTGTATTTCAGCGCTGAGCAAATTTGTTCCTCTGTAATCCGTTCTTCTGGAGGGACGGCACAAGGGGAGGCATCTAACGTCTGGACGCACTGCGCAACCTGGTTCTCGAGTGGACTTGGGATTTTAGAGCCAAGCAAATGCGACTGGGCAATGTGCTCCCCAATCGCATTGGCCTTCTCTTCGTTGGTGATAAGCCGTTCGTCATTGACTCTAAGTGGTGGAATGGGCTTGGGGTGAGACTTCAGCACCTTGGCAACCTTCCAGAATGGTCTGGAACGGTCGTCCAGGTTCTGAACGAGCCGCCCGAAACTCTCGTTCCGGATTGAGACCATTCTGGAAGCGATCTGCCGATTCAGATCGACCATTTCGTATTTACGCTGCAGATCCCCAGTCCGCTGAAACTGGCGTCTACGAACATTTCTGAGCCGAATCAAGAGTTTGGTGTGGGAATCAATTGCTTGAAACTTACCCCTCACAGGAACTCGTCGAACGCACTCTTCGTCAGCCACGGATATGGCTTGGTGGAGACCCTCCAGGGCCCGGTCGATGTCATCCACTGTGTCGAGCGGTGGGTTGTCGTCGATGTGGCGGTCGACCACGCGTCGAAACTGAACCCAGTTGACTCGATGGTAGTCCTTCCGCTGGCACGGTGCAGGGGCCACGTTGTAGCCCAGCTCGGTCAGCACCGGTTGGTGGTCCGAACTCAGGTCGTTGACGGCAACCGGCTTGGCTAATCTGGTGTTTGCCAAGAACAGGTCCAGCGTCGATGGGTTGCCCGTCGGTGATGTGAAGGTTGGTTCGTCCGGAAACCAGACGGAATAGAGACCATGCTGGGAATGGTCGAATAGCAGGCGGCCGTTCTGGTTCTGCTGGTAGTTCCGCCAGGCCTCGTGCCGGGCGTTCAGGTCCCCTCCGATTACAAAGTGGGCATTGGTGTGGGTTATGATGGCAAGGTCGTTCTTGAACTGCTGTGCTGTACCATTGCTAACGGTACATTGCCGGGGGCAGTAGGCGGCGATGAACCGGACGTTTCCGGTCGATGTTTCCACCTCTATGCCAACGGCCTCGATGATGGAAGTGCGGTAGTGGGGTAGGGTGCAGTACTTGATGCCTTTCTTGATGATGACCGCGACACCGCCCCCCCTGGAGCTGGTGCGATCAAGCCGGACAATGCTGTGGTCGGGCAGCCAGAAGCTGTCACCGGTCTTGAGGTGAGTCTCGGTGAGAAGGCCCACGTCGATGTCGTGCTTGCGGAGGAAGTCTGCAAGCTCAATGTTTTTCGCCCCTACGGAGCGAGCGTTCCAGTTGGCGATCTTTATGGGTTCACGGTCCATAATTAGCGACGAAGGAGATGATAGCTTGGAGCTGTTGTGTTCTTGTTGCGCAGGTGTGCTTGATGATGATGGCCTGGGCCAACAGTGTGACGATCTCATCCGTTGACAGCGGAGAATCGTCTGTAGTTTCACCGGTTGTACCGGCCAATCCCGGAGCAGGGGGATCCGTCGATGGGCCGGAGGCTTGACTGGGTACTGCAGCGGCAGCCGACTGGGCAGCAGCCAACTGTTGGTTGAGCGGGAGCGGCGCCAACACTGGAATTGGCCGTGGTTGGACCGGTGATAACGGAGGAAAGTTCTGCGCGTTGTTTTCCGGGACCTTCTTGCGACCGGGCTGGTTGTTGGACGAGGCCTTCTTCCGGATCTCGGCGTATTCGGCCCGCTTCGGACAGGCCTTACTCGTGGCCTTGTGGGCAGCACCGCAGTTGGCGCATGTGGGAGCGGCTTCCTCGATGCTGTCGCAGTCGTCGATCTTGTGGTTTTTGCCGCATTTGATGCAGCGGCTGGCCATGCGGCAGTTCCTGGTGCCGTGCCCGAACAATAGGCAGTTCGAGCACTGAGTGACGCCACGGTGGGTTGGCTTATACCGCTCCCACTTTACTACGATGTGGAACAGTGTGCGTGTCGTATGGAGATCCTTCACGGTTGTGGAGTTCTTCTGCAGATGGACCAAGTAGAGCTGGTCACGATACTTGATGGCCTTGCTGCGGGTCATCTTGTGGATTTCGACCGGCTTGAGGCCGTTCGCCTTAATCTCGTCCATTAAGGTGGTGGTGTCCATGTCGTGGAGCCCGCGCAGCACCACTTTCAGCGGCTTGGTGGCCTCGACGTCGTGGGAGAAGTACTCCAGCTTCATCCTGTCCAAGAGGGCCTGGACTGCGTTGTAGTGATTTTCGGCCGAGACCATCAGTTTGTAGCCTTCCGTGCACCGTTGAATGGTGCAGCGAAGGCCCTGCTTAATGTAGAAATCCAGCTGCTCCCATAGCCCGGGAGGGAAGCCCTTCACATAGAAGGGTGGCAACTTAACTTTTTTCGGCACCGTCTCAGGGTCCGACTGCGGCTGGGCTCCGTTCTGCAGGGCGGAGAACGGATTGTTGCTCAGCAGCTTTTTTTGCTGCTGATACGGTGGCGCTGCTGTCTTCAGGTCTGGGTCGTTTAGTTCCGGGAGGCCCCGGCTGCGGGTCCGCAACGCCTGTCGGGATGGGCAATGGGGTTTTCTTCTGCTTCTTCTGGGCTGGCTCGGTGGTCGCGCCGTCTCCTGGGAGAGTCTGTTTTCCCGGTAAACCGGCACTCGCGTTACCGCGCGATTTCTTACCCATGGCTGGGTCAGCGAGAGCGTCACTACACAACGCGGAGCTAATTCGACTTGCGAACGAACGAACGAAACTAGAGAGAATTCAAATCGACTGAACTGCTCAACAGTCTGGCAGCGAATGATGATGCTCTGCTCAACAGTCTGGCAGCGAATGACTTCAACGAGCTTAGGTACTTCATATTTATACCTGCTAACCTATCAAAATTCTCTAACCAATGAGATTCCGTTTACATACGGACTATCATGCTTCACGCTCACTCGATTCTACTCATTATTTGTTCAACTCTAACTCTATCTACTACATTCTTCCCCTCTTCTACTCTCCTTAATTGAGGACAGGGGGCATTATATTCACCCATTTGGGCGAATTTCATCTACCCTCTCGGGGGGACTTTCATCTATCCTCTCAGAGATATTTCATCCATCAGGTGATAATTATTTTCAAACTTGCCACACTGATATTTATTTCAAAATTATCAATATCTGTTATCATTATTCATCAAAATGACTACCTATTTCAATATAATCATTGAAATCAGTGTCACCAATTTCAACCGCGTACATGAATATTACCGTTCTATTCAAGTTTCAGATGAATTAATTATCCATTAGGTCATGGCTATTTATCCATTACGTCATGGTAAATTTCTTCAATTTACTTTTCCATCCATCATGTTGTATCAATTCTTATTTACCATGAATCAGGTCATGGTAATACTTATTAACCATCCACTATACCATCTATTTTGCCTTGAAGTTTTCTAGCTTCGTGAAATAATACATATTTTGCCTCGGAGACCTTTCACTCCGGAAATTTTCAAGAATTATTATTATTATTATTTTAAGCATAGTATACCATCCTTCACGTCATGGTAAATTTCTTCAGTTTACATTTTCATCCATCATGTCGTGTCAATTCTTATTTACCATCCATCAGGTCATGGTAATTCTTATTTATCATCAATCAGGTTATGGTAATACTTCTTTACCATCCACTATACTATCTATCTTGCCTTGAATTTTCTCCTTTCGTAAAATAATACATATTTTTTTTTCGGAGACCTTTCACTCCGGAAAATTTCAAGAATCCTTATTATTATTATTTTTAGCATAGTTTACCATCCTTCATGTCATGTTAAATTTCTTCAGTTCACATTTCCCTCTATCATGTCGTATCAATTCTCATTTACCATCCATCAGGTCATGGTAGTTCTTATTTACCATCCATCAGGTCATGGTAATTCTTATTTATCATCAATCAGGTCATGGTAATACTTCTTTACCATCCACTATACTATCTATCTTGCCTCGAATTTTCTTGTTTCGTAAAATAATACATATTTTGCCTCGGAGACCTTTCATTCCGGAAATTTTCAAGAATACTTATTATTATTATTTTTAGCATAGTTTACCATCCTTCATGTCATGGTAAATTTCTTCAGTTCACATTTCCATCTATCATGTATCAATTCTTATTTACCATCTATCAGGTCATGGTAATTCTTATTTATCATCCATCATGTCATGGTAATTCTTATTTACCATCCATCAGGTCATGGTTATTCTTATTTACCATCCATCAGGTCATGGTAATTCTTATTTACCATCCATCGGGTCATGGTAATTCTTATTTACCATCCATCAGGTCATGGTAGTTCTTATTTACCATCCATCAGGTCATGGTAATTCTTATTTACCATCCATCAGGTCATGGTAATTCTTATTTACCATCCATCAGGTCATGGTAATTCTTATTTACCATCCATCAGGCCATGGTAATTCTTATTTACCATCCATCAGGTCATGGTAATTCTTATTTACCATCCATCAGGCCATGGTAATTCTTATTTACCATCCATCAGGTCATGGTAATTCTTATTTACCATCCATCAGGTCATGGTAAGTATGCTGCGAAAATTTTCTAAGTTTTTTTTTTTACTATCTCACTATACTCACTTTTACACTATATGCTGCTACCAGCTGCGCCATTGTCGTGACCGGACCGAGGTTTCCAGCCTTGGTCACGGCTACACGAATTAGCGATGCAGCTCCCACGGGTCATTTGTTTATGCTGCTGCTGCTGTTTCTGTTGCTGCTTTTTCTTTTGCTGCTGCTGCTGTTTCTGTTGCTGCTGTTTCTGTTGCTGCTGTTTCTGCTGCTGGTGGTGGTCCGTCACCTCCAAAATTTCTTTTGCTGCTGTGTCTGTTGCAGCTGTTTCTGTTGCTGCTGTTTCTGTTGCTGCTGTTTCTGTTGCTGCTGTTTCTGCTGCTGGTGATGGTCCGTCACCTCCAAAATTTCTTTTGCTGCTGTTTCTGTTGCAGCTGTTTCTGTTGCTGCTGTTTCTGTTGCTGCTGTTTTTGTTGCTGCTGTTTCTGCTGCTGGTGATGGTCCGTCACCTCCAAAATTCGTTACAAGAATGACTTCAACGAGCTTAGGTACTTCATATTTATACCTGCTAACCTATCAAAATTCTCTAACCAATGAGATTCCGTTTACATACGGACTATCATGCTTCACGCTCACTCGATTCTACTCATTATTTGTTCAACTCTAACTCTATCTACTACATTCTTCCCCTCTTCTACTCTCCTTAATTGAGGACAGGGGGCATTATATTCACCCATTTGGGCGAATTTCATTTACCCTCTCGGGGGGACTTTCATCTATCCTCTCAGAGATATTTCATCCATCAGGTGATAATTATTTTCAAACTTGCCACACTGATATTTATTTCAAAATTATCAATATCTGTTATCATTATTCATCAAAATGACTACCTATTTCAATATAATCATTGAAATCAGTGTCACCAATTTCAACCGCGTACATGAATATTACCGTTCTATTCAAGTTTCAGATGAATTAATTATCCATTAGGTCATGGCTATTTATCCATTACGTCATGGTAAATTTCTTCAATTTACTTTTCCATCCATCATGTTGTATCAATTCTTATTTACCATGAATCAGGTCATGGTAATACTTATTAACCATCCACTATACCATCTATTTTGCCTTGAAGTTTTCTAGCTTCGTGAAATAATACATATTTTGCCTCGGAGACCTTTCACTCCGGAAATTTTCAAGAATTATTATTATTATTATTTTAAGCATAGTATACCATCCTTCACGTCATGGTAAATTTCTTCAGTTTACATTTTCATCCATCATGTCGTGTCAATTCTTATTTACCATCCATCAGGTCATGGTAATTCTTATTTATCATCAATCAGGTTATGGTAATACTTCTTTACCATCCACTATACTATCTATCTTGCCTTGAATTTTCTCCTTTCGTAAAATAATACATATTTTTTTTTCGGAGACCTTTCACTCCGGAAAATTTCAAGAATCCTTATTATTATTATTTTTAGCATAGTTTACCATCCTTCATGTCATGTTAAATTTCTTCAGTTCACATTTCCCTCTATCATGTCGTATCAATTCTCATTTACCATCCATCAGGTCATGGTAGTTCTTATTTACCATCCATCAGGTCATGGTAATTCTTATTTATCATCAATCAGGTCATGGTAATACTTCTTTACCATCCACTATACTATCTATCTTGCCTCGAATTTTCTTGTTTCGTAAAATAATACATATTTTGCCTCGGAGACCTTTCATTCCGGAAATTTTCAAGAATACTTATTATTATTATTTTTAGCATAGTTTACCATCCTTCATGTCATGGTAAATTTCTTCAGTTCACATTTCCATCTATCATGTATCAATTCTTATTTACCATCTATCAGGTCATGGTAATTCTTATTTATCATCCATCATGTCATGGTAATTCTTATTTACCATCCATCAGGTCATGGTTATTCTTATTTACCATCCATCAGGTCATGGTAATTCTTATTTACCATCCATCGGGTCATGGTAATTCTTATTTACCATCCATCAGGTCATGGTAGTTCTTATTTACCATCCATCAGGTCATGGTAATTCTTATTTACCATCCATCAGGTCATGGTAATTCTTATTTACCATCCATCAGGTCATGGTAATTCTTATTTACCATCCATCAGGCCATGGTAATTCTTATTTACCATCCATCAGGTCATGGTAATTCTTATTTACCATCCATCAGGCCATGGTAATTCTTATTTACCATCCATCAGGTCATGGTAATTCTTATTTACCATCCATCAGGTCATGGTAAGTATGCTGCGAAAATTTTCTAAGTTTTTTTTTTTACTATCTCACTATACTCACTTTTACACTATATGCTGCTACCAGCTGCGCCATTGTCGTGACCGGACCGAGGTTTCCAGCCTTGGTCACGGCTACACGAATTAGCGATGCAGCTCCCACGGGTCATTTGTTTATGCTGCTGCTGCTGTTTCTGTTGCTGCTTTTTCTTTTGCTGCTGCTGCTGTTTCTGTTGCTGCTGTTTCTGTTGCTGCTGTTTCTGCTGCTGGTGGTGGTCCGTCACCTCCAAAATTTCTTTTGCTGCTGTGTCTGTTGCAGCTGTTTCTGTTGCTGCTGTTTCTGTTGCTGCTGTTTCTGTTGCTGCTGTTTCTGCTGCTGGTGATGGTCCGTCACCTCCAAAATTCGTTACAAGAATGACTTCAACGAGCTTAGGTACTTCATATTTATACCTGCTAACCTATCAAAATTCTCTAACCAATGAGATTCCGTTTACATACGGACTATCATGCTTCACGCTCACTCGATTCTACTCATTATTTGTTCAACTCTAACTCTATCTACTACAGAGCAGTTCAAGGCTTTTTGTTAAAGCCGCTCATCAATCCCGAAGACAGCCATCGGAGGTCAATTTCACGGTAATTTTCGGATAAAAACCGTGTACGAATGAGTATGAGATTAAAAAATAGCTGACCACGAAATCAGGGTGTGAGTTGGTTTTGAATCCCGTTTTTTTTAATAGAACGGCCAAAAATAGACCAACCGGTGCGTACGCACACAGTTTGATCTATTTTGGCTTGATCCTTTTAATTTTAGCTGCGATTCAAACGTGACATAAATTTGGATCTAGATCATGTGGTGTTATAAAGATTTATACCGGTTTTTTAATAATCAAAATCAAAATTTTTGTGTAAGACTTATATCTTTTTGAATATCTAAAATTTTTTGAGTCTTTAAAATTCTTTTAAAAAATCATCTTCAAAAATGTCTTATGGATACTCTTTCGATTAATGTTTCAATTTCCCCACCGTTTTTGGCTACCCATGAATCGATAAACAGTCGATGGCTCTTTCTGGTAATGCCGGGGGAATCGGGAAATACTTTCTAAACATTATTTAACTTCCTGGATTTTCTTCCAACTTTCCCCTGGAGTTTTCTATTTACGATTCCTCTCGGAAACTTATTTCGACTTCTCTTGAAAGCTTCTTCAGCCTTCGCTTGAATGATTCTTCCCGGAACTTCAGGGATGCTTCTAGATTTTGATTGCGGATCAACACTAGCTGCAGGAACTTTTAAAAAAGTTCTGAAACTTCAGAAAAGTCCAGACTTTTGAGTGAGTTTCGATAAGTTAAAGAAAGTAGCTTCTGTTAAAATTCTAAAACCCGGTCCAGCGAACTCCAGTGAACTTAACGAGACATCATAAATATTTTGGATACTTCACAAGGCCAAAGAACTTCTGGAAAATTTAATGGCTTTCAGGACAGTTCCATTAGTTTCAGGAGAATTGAGAGAACATTAGGAAGCTCAGAGAACATCAGGACAATCAGATCAGATCAATAAATTTCAAGGAAATTGCTGAAATTTTAAAGGAGTTCCGAGAAACTCAGGCAATTGCCGAATACTTCAGCATTGTTCCGAGGGGCTCATACAAATTTAAGAAACTTAAGGGAAGTTACACGAACATTAGCACATTGTGAGAACATTTTATGGGAAGTTCCGTGCTATTGATGGCAGTGTCGATAACTTTTAAAAATTAGAAAAATCGGGAAAATCAGAGAACTTCAATGTTGATGTTACAATAAATTCAAGAAAATTGTGAGAGTGTTTAAAAAATTTCGTAATCTTCAAGAAAACCTAGAAACCTTCAAAGTTGATTAGAGATATTCCGGTAGTCTCATTATAATCAGGGAAGTTCCAAGTTTCAAAGATGATCAGAGTACTCCAAAACCGTCCAAAACAGCCCGAAGAAATATGGAATATTCCTAAGTGCATTTCAGGAATGTTCCAAAAATTTCAGGAGCTTTGCGGGGTCTTCAGGGATGTTTTATGACCATTTGGAAAATTTTCTGGATCATTAGAACATTCCCCAAGAGCTCTTTCTTCCGGAATTGTCCTTGTTTCTTTCGACTGTTCCGTAAGCGATCTGGCTTCCAACTTTCTCCAGATTTATTTCCATTCTACCTTAGGAAGTTTCTGCCAGCGTCTCCAGGAAGTTTGGTCCGTCTTCTCCAGGAAGTTCAATTAACCTTCTCCCAGAAATTTCTTTCATCTAGTTCTGAAATTTTGTCCAGTTGGTTTTTTTTTTTACTTTTTTTGGAAGGTTTTTCCGAGCTTCTTCTGGCTTCCTCTAAAAATGGCTCCTTCTGGAATTTATTTCCGGTTTCCGAAACTTTTCTGCCTTCCATTGAATGTGAAATCCAATTTTTTTCTGAAATTTTCTTTAAATTTTCGCCAGAAGTTTCTCAATTTATGTCTTGTAAGTTCCGCGGATGTTTTTCCAACTTCTCTCAGAACCTTCCTCAAATTTCCTCCAGGAGACCTTCTTTCTCTGGCTCTTGTTTTCAGCTTCCTCCAGAAGCTAATTCAAACATTCCCCGGAGTTTTCTTCCGGAATTTTCCGATCATAGTCCAAAAGTTAAAATTTTCGCTTTCAAAAACGCCAAAAATATAAAATTAATTAAAATAGTAAACACCGATAAATACCGATTTTTTAAAACCTTTGATACCGATAAGCTTTAAAACATTCTGGCAACGCTGCTCTCCCCTTCAGAGTCGATGTTATAAGAACTAAGGCTGTGTTCCATTTGGTGAATTTTCACTTAAATTTGACAGATGGAAAATTTTCAAATAAACCTGCTATCCCAGCAGACTTATTTCTTGAGGGGGACGACTCTATCTACGATGCAGAAAAGATTGTGTTTTGCTGTGGCTAGCTGCACGCACGCTGAGTAGATAGAAGGAAGATTTATGTCGATTTTGAAGATTTCCTGCAAAAAGATGATGAGCGATGCAAGTAGATGCGACAAATGAAAGATGATTTTTCGAAGATTGATTCGCTAGTGTGAGATTTTTTGAGCATCTACAATTGAGATTTAGATGTGTCGCCCTCCTCGTTATTTCTGATAGACAAGGAATCAACTATGACAGACGCTTTCTCGAAAATCGGCCGATCAACAACAGAGGGATTTTCGAACATCTTAATTTATTTTCGAAGTGTCAAATTTAAGTGAAAAATTTCCAAGTGGAACACAGCCTAAAAAACAACTAAATTCAAGCTGAACATTGAATTAGGTCCTAAGTTGCATTGAGAGATTCTCTTCGTCGACTTTCTCTTTGTATCCCCACGGCCATGTAAAAACATTCCCAGGTATTTTTAGCACACAGATTGATAAAAGAAGTTTATATCTAGGATCTAATACGACAATTACAACAAGAAACGGGTATGTGCTCAAGTTATTAACGAAAGAGAAAGTCGACGATGAGAATCGATCAATGTTACTTAGGACCTAATGCAATGTTCAGCTTGAATTGGTGGTGACGACACCGTCAAAAAATTTGCTCTTCCAGCAAATTTAGACAGTTTCTTATGGGGATTTTCGGTGGAGTTAAAGGATAGTACGCCATGTTTCACGCACAGTCTAACGTTTGCTTATGGATTTTCTCATAGGAGTAAAGCGCTAAAGAATCGCCGTCAACGCCAATTTATCAACAAACGTAAAAAATAATGGCAGTGGTGCCAGAATTCATGAAAACATTGGCTTTTTATGCGACGGATGCGTGTTAGTGGGTGTTTGAAGTGTGTTTTTGTGGGTGTTAGCACAAGGTGGCAGAGTGACTTACCCCCTGGTCCCAAGCTAATCGATGCACCCCTCGAAACATAGGAAAATCCACGAGCCCCTCATTTTATGTACAAACTTTCATGGCAAATCAAAACAAACATTGTGTAGTGCTAGAATTTCGACTAGAATGGGGTACGTTAATCGATTTGGGACCAATAGGCTAATCAAGTATAGTGAGCCAATTTAAAATTTCGCATTGATTATTGGTAAAACTTAATCGCTCTCTCTCTGAGTAAGTCTCATCGACCGTATGTTATTTCACGCGTGGCGCGCCCTTTCATCTTTTGCCTCTTTTGCCCCTCGTTTATAGCAAACCGAGAGCTGCAGGTGATAAACGTCAATACGGGCACATCAGTGAGACCTCGAGTGAGACCGGTGAGACCATCACTCGAATCGTGCTTTTTACAAGCGTTCGGGTCACAGCCGTCACAGGCAAAACAATCACCGCTGTCGGTAGTGTCGTAAGATTTTGTGTTATAGAAAAAAAATCCACTCTTTTTCTGCAAAACCGGCAGCTTTACAATGTCGTTCGACTTAAAGAACGAATCGGACGTCAAGGAGTACCTGGAGAAACTGGGCATCGAATATCGATTCGGATGCTACTCGGAGAAAAAAGCGGACGGTAGGTAAACATTGGTTGCGTGAATTTCATCACACCATCAGTGGCAAAAACATAATAATATTACACAACACACCCCGTTTGTCGATCGGCAAAAGGATAATCATTCTTTGTATTCCTGATCCGAAAGGTCAGCGAACTGAGGGTGGATTTATTGTTTTGATTTATTTTGTTGCAGTTTGCCATCTTCTCGGTGACTATCTGGAGGGCATCAAGAAGGATTTCGATAAAGCAGCCAAAGTGTACCGGTCCAACTGCGACGACTATGGGTATGCGAAAAGTTGCCTCAAGTACGGGAACTATAGCTTCCTGGGCAAAGGACGTGCCTCGGACAAGGGTGACCCTGTGAAAGCATACCAATACTACGAAAAGGGATGCCAACTCAACGATCCGGATGCTTGTTTACATTCCGGACTGCTGCTGGTTTCGAAGTCGATACCCAAGGACATGAAGCGGGACGTACCGAAGGCATTTGAGTATCTGAAGAAGGCGTGCGGAATGAACAATGCCAATGCTTGCTTCTATCTTTCGGGTATGCACATTTCCGGTGTGTTGAAGGATGAATACAACACAGCCAAGGTGAAGGAAGAGCTGGAAAAGAAGGAGAAAACTTCGCCGGGCAGGGCATCATCGCTACCGGATGGGGCGTACGTAGTGGAGAGGGATATGCACAAAGCTTTCGAGTTTGCCTACAAAGCGTGCGAGCTGCGAAACATGTATGCCTGTGCCAATCTTAGTCAAATGTACGCCAAAGGGGATGGAACGGCAAAGGACGAGAAGAGTGCGGAAAAGTACAAACAAATGGCCATGGACATGCAGGACGAAATCAAGAAACAACAGCAGCTCAACTTCCAGCAGGGTCTGAATCCGACGTAAGGGAACATTCCGGCAAATCCGCCGACAAGAAGGTGAGTAGAAGAGATACCAACAACCACCCAATTTTTGGTCATTCTCGTTTGCAAAGTTTTCTCCCATATCCTCGTGTGCGTTGTATGTACCTACGTTCCTGATTGTACCATTATATTTCTACCGCTTGACACCGCTGCTGAGGAGAGCATATAGAGAGTCACTGACTAGAAATGAAACAAATTGACGGTTATCCAAATTTAGCGGAACTAAATAAAAACGCTTAAGTGGAATGTTTAAATTTGGTTGTAGTTATGTTGGAAAGAAATTAACCTCTTTATAGTCCAGTGAGTAGTCATCAATAATTTATTAAATAAAGTGTGCAGCAGAAGTAGTACAATAATATATTATATAGAGGGTTATAGATTCAGAATCCTTCGGTACTGCTAGATCCTTCCATGCGACCGTGTTTCATCATAGTTTGTAAAGTCCGACAGCTGTTGGCTTTTGCTGTACGCTTCCCGAGCGATCGACTTTGACAGTACCAAATCCGTCGCTCCGTAGATGGACCCTCCAAGCCAAGCGGTGAAATTCGCCTTTGATGGCGGTTTGTGGAATTTGAACGTCTTCAGAAATAGCTTATCTCTGTACTGTTCGGACTGGAGCAGTGCCAGCAACTCCGCTTTGAGACGCGCTGCCAATCCAAGAACCATGCTTGAACCCCCAACGAGAACGATATTTTCTGCCAATACCTTTCGCATATCCTTTGGACACTTCAAAATTGAGTTCAGAACTATATTCGCCAAATTGAGGTGGTCGTTATCCTCGGGGAACAGTACTTCGAATGCAGTCTCCCGCAGAACCCCAGAGATCTTAATCACTTCGTCTCCTTTGATGGGGTAATCTACATCGGGACAAGCTTGGAAGCTTTCATTCATCCGCCACTTTACAGCTCGTTCTTTCGTGGTTACAAAGCACGTTCGAACCTTAATGTCTTCAACCACATAATCCGTCAGCAAATGCTCCTCAACCCCGTTCAGAATCAACTCCCCCTTGATCTGCTCATGAACAGCTTCCGCGGCCAACGGTTGAGCTTCCCAAGCAAAAACAGCTTGAACTCCGCTGTACACTGGAACTACGGCCGCCTCCTTGTACCCAATATCGACCACCAGCGCGGTATCGACAGCCAGCGTGGCCAAAACGACTAAATGCGTCGGAACGTAGAATATTGATGAAACGTCAAAGTGGCAGAACAGCGCCTTGGCCAGATTTTCCCGTATCAGCGTGGGACATAGAACAGATTCCACAATCACCACCTTTCGTTCCTTGGGGCTGACCAGAACGTACTTGAAAAAGATGATCTTCAAAAACTCCACTATCTGGTCGTACAGTTCCGCCTCGCTGGCATAGTCGAAAAGTTTCTTGTTCGGTGTCGTTTGGCTGGCACTTTTCGCCTTGTGATCCAACACCTCCGACGGAATGATGCTACGGGGGTGGGGTTCGCCAGCAAAACCCAATCTGGCGGAAGGAAAAGTAACATTATTTTTTCTATGTTGATGCAGCGAACAATGTGAAACTTACTTGGTGAATGCATAACCCATTTCCAGCACGATGGCTGGCTTCTCCTGAAGCACCGAATCGAAAAGGGGCATCTTGGGATGACCACGAATGCAAGCACTTAACTTGTAAGAGTGTTAAAACTAAGTTTTAACTTAATTTTAACAACTTTTTACTGAACTCTTGAAAAAGGTAATATTTTCGTCCAAAAACAAAACGCTAATGACATCGAATCAGTTTTTGATGAAGATATTTGACATTTCAAGCTTAGGTGACACCCCTGATGCTTAACCCCATAACTCATGTGGTAAAACTTGAACACGTTAAAAGCAAATAAGCCATTGTGTGCACTGATAAAATTTCAAACATCAAGACCAACAATTGAAATGGCCTTAACTCTATTTTGTAAACAAACCTTGTAAGGCCATTTTCTCGCGAACCAAAAGCTTCATTCGCAAACCTAAACCACAATCGGGTAGAGGAGAATTTTCCCTACCTGTTCATTATGTTGGTTTTCCTTTGCAGACTTCGGTTCGCGAGAAAATGGCCTTACAAAGTTTGTTTACAAAATGGAGTTAAGGCCATTTCAATTGTTGGTCTTGACATGATTTTTTGCAATGTGATCAACATATCAGGCGTAACATTTGATAACGGCACAAAAACTTTTGTAGACAAAAGTTGTAAGGCCATTTACACGCGAACCGAAGTACGCCACCGCAAACCAATATAATTATCGGAGAGGGGAAAATTTCCCCCAGCCGATGATGTTGTTGGTTTACGTGGGCGTTCTTTGGTTCGCGTGTAAGGGGCCTTACAACTTTTGTTTACAAAAGCTTTTGTGCCGTTATCAAATGTTACGCCTGATATGGTTGGACACATACTTAATATGTGTACACATAAAAGCCATGTGTAACCACACATACTATTCATTTGACTCATAAATTTCATGTGCGCTTCTGGGAGGATTCTGTTTATGTGTGGTCACATGAAATTCATGTGGAATTTCACATGGAAATTCGTCAATAAAAATGTGTGGAATTGTATTACACAGCAAAAAAAAAATAATATCGATCAATGTAATTCAAGCTGATGTATGAAATAATAATGATGATGCAAAAAACAGATACAATATCACCGACAAACCGACATGAAACTTAAACTTAACTCTTGATCGAGAATCCATAACGGCGGATTCAAATGTGCAGCGATCCCATCTGTCAAAACCGTAGAATTTTTTATCTAGATAAAAATAATTTACCCGGAATAGATTAGACACGAACCAACTCATACATTTTGTATGCGTGTTCGTGGCTAGGATAAACATTTTTCGCGAACACGGCGGCAGATGTCAGTTTTCTGCTTTGATCAGAAATTTGATGATACTTTGTATGGTCATTCATGTCGGTTTGTCGGTTACATCAATGGATGTAATTTTGTTCGCAAAATCGATGTACATCGTACAACGTTATATTACACAACCGATGGATTGACCTGGTTGCAGCAGTCTGGATATAATATTCAACAACTTTTTTTTCTGTGTAGTGTATGAACAGCTAAAAAGTAAAGCCCTACAGTAACCATAGATATTACCATAGATGTAACTCTAAGACTAGAAGCACAAACGAAGTGACAGACGACTAACTGGCGAAGAAATCCATTAAAATAATGTGGTTCACTGTAATAGAATTTTCTTGGAAGCTTGTGCCATCATCCACCACATGGGTTAGTTTTTTTGTTTTGATTTGAACAAAGTTGATTTTGTGTACAATGATTCTTTGACAGTGTGCAAAGAGTGTATCATTTTGTCATTTTTTTATGCATTTCAGTTTTGAGTAGAGTGAAAGAGATAGAACCAAAACATTCTAATACATTTGGTGAAAATGCTAGTACAATCCAGTAGTAGTGTTGCCATGTGGTACAGTCTAGTAGTAGTGGTGTTGCCATCTGGTACACTGAAAAATTGAAATAGCAGGTTAGTCACCAAAGTTTTCGAGCCGCTCCGTCTGTCACTTCGTTTGTGCTAGAAGGTCCTGAAAAAAACGTGCTCAACTTTTTGGCTCAGCTCTGGTACTCTCTTCGGTCCCAAACTAATCGATTCACCCCTCGAAACATAGGAAAATCCACTATCCCCTCATTTTATCTGTCAAACTTTCATAGCGAATCAAAATAAACATTGTGCAGTACTAGAATTTCAACTAAAATGAAGTACGTTAATCGTTTGCTTGGGACCAATAGGCTAGTCAAGTAGCGACTTGAAAATACTACTTAGCTAAAAATCCTTTGAAAAGCCCCTGTCGAGCTAGTGGGACTTTACTAGGAGTAAAGAGTTGCAGAGTCGCCGTCAACGCCAATGCTTATTTTTGTAATGGCCAATGCTGCAAACGTAAACAATTACTATTTGTGTGAATTTCTCGGAAATGAAAACTCCTTCAAGAAAACGAGGGGGGCGACACATCTAAATCTTAATTCAAGAGCAAATTTTCATTATGTCGTAAGTAACATTCGCACCAATCCGAGAGAAATAAATAGTTTTGTTTTGATGACCGAAAAGTTATTCCTATTTCCAATCAAACCATATAATCGCATAGTGATAGCAATGTTTAACATATTTAGCAGGGTTTTCTGTTACTTAAGGCAAACGGCATCTCCATAGAAATCGGGTGACTTAAGTAACATCGAAAACTATTTTGATCGGAAGGTGATTACGCCAAAAAGCAATTTGACTGGTAAATAATTTTAAAAATGGGATGTGATCCTATATTCGGACAGTATATAGTGTAATAGCAGGAGCATCGATTGACACTGATAGCTCGACTTTGTTTACCTTTGTTACTTTGGACGTAATGAAAATTTGCGCTTGAATTGTAGATGCTCAAAAAATCTCACACTAGCGCATCAATCTTCGAAAAATCTTCAATCATTTCCCGCATCTACTTTTATCGCGCATAATCTTTTTGCAGGAAATCTTCAGAATCGCCATCAATCTTCTTTCTATCTACTCAGAGTGCGCACAGCTAGCCACGGCAAAACACAATCTTTCCTGCATCGTAGATAGAGTCGTCCCCCTCGCAAGAAAACCAACACCATGATTGTGTAGAGAAAGAGTCCTCCTCCGATAAAATTAGTGGCTTACATGGATTGACTTTGACCTACGAGATATTTACGAAAGAAGCCATTATTTATGTTTTCGACATTGGTCTTTATGAATGCTCAGTGTCGATATCACAAAAATTTTATTTTGACAGATCGATGTCCAAATATGCCAGTTATACCACTGAGGCAAAAGAAAAAAGGGGCCAGATTTGAGTCAGCTTTTTGCATGAAGTTCCACATATGTTATGTCGAGTGTTATGTGCTGTTACTCAAGACAAACGGCATCTCCATAGAAATTGGGTGACTTAAGTAACATCGAAAAATATTTTGATTAGAAGGTGATTACGTCAAAAGCAATTTGACTGGTAAATAAATTTAAAAATGGGATGTGATCCTATATTCGGACAGTAGGGGAAATGGCTCTAATGTTGGCATATGTATCTAACATTGGGCCCATCGCTAAATATCTGTTATTTATCAATTTTATCTAGATGAACGCGTCATTGGGACGGTACTAATGGATATTTTTGGTCGCTATTGAAAATTTAGTCGATTGCTGAATTTATGTATGGGCCCTAATTAGGGGCATTTGGGCCGACATTACATTTATTTCCCTTATATAGTGTAATAGCAGGAGCATCGATTGACACTGATAGCTCGACTTTGTTTGCCTTTGTTACTTTCAACGTAATTAAAATTTGCTCTTGACATGAACGTTTGTGTGATAAAGTTTTAACCTTTTGTATTATGGTTTTTTGAAAGTGTTGTTAAGAACCATTACCATTCAAAATAGTTGATTTCTCCATACATTTTCGAAAAGAGAACTATATTCGATCCTTTTTACTTATGGTTTGAGAACATTAATGGTAATGGTTATGGTAGTCAGTAAGTTCCATGGATGGTTTAGTATTCTCGGTCAACTTTACGTCGAATTGGTAGTCATTAATTTACAGGCAACCAAATCGCGATATATTTCACGTTAAGTTGATCAATGTTACAAAACCATCCATGGACCTTACTGACCACCATAAAAATTACCATTAAATTTATAAAATCATAAATAAAAAGGTTCTAATATAATTCCTTTTCCGAAAACGTCAGTTTGCTCGTTTGTTTTTAAAACCTAGCTCTAGGTTCCTAGGTTCAACGTAGGTTCAAACGAATTCGCTATTAGTATATCCATTTTTGGGTAGGCTGGACGAATCTGGGGAGTCCTATCAAAATTTGGGTAGTTTTGAAATAGCGTGTAGATGGAGCGCTATTATAGCGATAGCGATTCTCGTGGCGATGCTCTAAGCAGTATTGTTTTGATTTTTACTTGTTTACCAACATTTTTCCGCAATATTTTTGCAGACTGTGAACGTCGTTTTCTCTTTTAGCAAAAATAGCTAAATTTGCATGAATATTAATTAAATTCAATAGCGTTCTATGCATAACTTAATGCACCATAATGAATCCGTGCCCGGAACAGTTGAACTTTGACGAAATCTGCCGTAGCTGCATGACTAAAAAGGATCGCATGCGACCGCTGTTCGGTTCCAGCTTGGACTCGATGTTGATGACTGTGGCAAATGTTACGGTAAGTAGATGCAATTACTAAAAAAAACATCAAGATTGTTGCATAGCATCAAATACTGCATCCACCATGCCAGGTATTCCAAGAAGACGGTTATCCGGCTCAGATGTGTGTTCAGTGCGTGCTGCAGGTCAGCCGTGCATTCACCTTTAAGCAACAATGCGAGAAAAATGATGCCACCCTAAAGGCCTATCTGAATCAGGCACTCCTGCTGCAACATCAGCAACAGGACTCGGAGGTGATCAGCTTGGATGGAAATGATCATGATGATAATCGGGAAGAAGAGATACAGTTCATTTCTCTGGATTCGCAAGATCATCCGATCGGATATAGGTTCAATGGAAGCGACTCGAATGAGTGTGTTCTGATACTGAGTGCCACCGGTGAAGAGAACATGGAGCACGAACCGACCGAGCTGGTTATGTCCTCCTTCGGTTCCATAATGCCAAAGGCGGAAATTTCTGACACCATTAACTCGGAAGCTTATCAAAGAAGCCGGCAAAACGATGAATCTGTAGGCCATGTAATCGAAGAAAGTGGGGAAATCAAATTGATCACATCCTTCAATCTGGACCAAAACATGCTCGAATGTGCACAGATTTCTCTGAATGAGGAAATTGCAGGGGACGACCATTTCGGTATGGATCGCCAGGGATTTGAAATACAGTTTGAGAATGCTGATGGGCCGAATCAATTTTTATTCCAGATGCAACTGACTCGAACGAACAGGATGAAGAAGAAATTACCTTCGAGGAGAGTGTCGATAAAACCAATATGTTTGCCACGAATGTTTTCAAATGCGAGGACTGCCAGAGGGAATTCAAATCCAATGTCGAACTGAAGGTATGTGCGCTTAAATTCAAAATAATTTATTAAATTGAAGTATCTCTTATTCCAGACGCATAGGTTGTCTTGTCCAGCTCTAACGAACAGTACGGCTGTGAAGCTACCAAATCGGTCCGAGGAAATCACAAGATCGAGTAGCTTGGAAAATGCGCCGCCATCATATGACAGTACCGTTTCGTTGCGGTTCGAATGTACTGTTTGCAACAAACGATTTTCGGATACCAGTAAACTGAGGGTAAATGTACTTCATATCTCCAATTTAGGTTTTAATTTTGATGTGTTTTCCTAATTTTAACAGCGTCATTCGCGTACTCATCTGATCGATAAACCGCACGTCTGCAAAGTTTGTGGTATGTCTTTTGCGGAAAGTTCCAACCTAACCAAGCACCACCGGAAGCACACCGGCGAACTGAGAAATGTGGTTGGCAAACCGAATCTCTGTTCGGTTTGCGGCAAACGTTTCAAGTGGACAACCTCCCTGTCGAAGCATATGAAGCATCACACGAAGAGGAAATTGTTCACCTGTCCGTATCCGAATTGCGATAAGTACTACGTAGAGCAACGCTCGCTGGACATTCACATCTTCTCGCACGACGGCAAGAAGCCTTTCACGTGCAGCTACTGCGACAAAGGGTTTACGCAGAAGTGCAACCTGGAGAAGCACGAGCGAGTGCATACCGGTTGGTGGGGTAGGTGATTGAGTTTGTCGGTTGCATTCTAGGATTGGTCTTCCTTGTTTCAGGTGAAAAACCCTTCCAGTGTAATGTGTGCCATAAAAGCTTTGCACAAAGTGGCTATCTGGTCATCCACCAGCGGATTCACAGCCAGGAGAAACCGTACAACTGTGAGGAATGTGGTGAGTAGAGATCCTGTTCTTCATTCTTGGGTTTTATTTTTCTTGCAAATACCTAGAAGTCTCACAAAGAGTATCATCATTACTCAGGGAATTAAATAATTTTCTTAGTTTTTGAAATGCTGGAGTTAAAAGTTATAATACTACAAGAAATTTTCAAGATTCAGGAGTCAAATTCCTTGCACAGTTTCAAAGGCTCATGGAATTTAATTATAGTTTCTAAAGACCTCATTCGAAGGGAGTTCCGGGAGAAAATCTTTAAGGAACAACATCAAGTGCAACCTGCTTTCAAGGTAGTTCTGAGGAATTTTAGATTTCATGTGAAGTCTGAGATGGTTTCGAGTAAAATTTCAAGCAAATTCTGAATTGAACTAAAAATTAATTAAAACTCAGGAATTTCTGAGTAGCAGCACTCCTGTGAACTTCAAATTAAAATTCCAAGGGCATTCTGAGGATAATTTTATGAAGTTTTTGGGAGAAAACGAATCCGAAGCATAAGTCATTAGAAATTATTGAAGAATACTTGGTACTACTACTAGAATACTCCCATATTAACTTATTACGTGCTCTCAACTTGGTGTTCTAGTGTGTTCTAGTGCATTTCCACAGTTATTAATTGAGAGCTTTCGACCCGTACCATTTATGTATAAGTATAATTGTGTGGCACGTACTTTCTATGCCCAGGGAAGATCCCAGGGGGATCCCGTTCGAATAGAGAGTATCCTGGTTGGTTTCAGGGCCAACTTCTCCAGTAAAATATCGATTAAACCAAACGACCGCAAATGTGCTCATTCACTTCTCATACTTTCAGCACTAGCTGGCGTTGCTAAATCGCTGCTCTTGTCTCCATTTACGCTGCAACTCCAACATAATCTGCGTGACTGCTCTGTTGACGGCATTCCAAGTGCCCTCCTTTCGACACATTTCATCGACGACATTCTCCACGTTAAGGACGGGCATCTCCCTTCGCACTACCTCGAACCTTGGACAGTCGAAGACCAAATGCTCCGGCGTTTCATCGACGTAGCCGTGGCCAGACAGGAACTGCGTTAGGTGGAAGTTGACTTCTTCGTGTTTTCTGTTCCCCCAGGTCGAAAGAATCGGTATTAGTCTATGTGTCCATCTACCGTTCTCCGCCGTGTTCCACTTCTGTTGCCACTTAGCCAACGACTCCGCGCTCACAACTTTCCGTACTCTTCCGGATTCTGTATCTGTACCTCAGTATCGACTACGATACACTGGCCAGAAGACGCCTCTTGCTACTGCTGGGAACAGCGTTGTTCGGCATGATTCTAGCTATCGCGTTGATGACCTTCGAAGCCTTCTCACAGGCATATTCGACGACTTCGAAGCTATGACCTGCTCCCCGACGATGATTTCTGCCCGCTGCACCGCTTTACAGTAACTGACCAATAGCACGTTCGTTTTGGGGTGGGCTACCAATCATGTCGATCGCCTCGGTTGCCAACACTTCCACCTCTTCCAGCGTTTCGCCTCTTACCGTCAAGACGACGTCGTCCGCAAAGCCAACGATCTCAACTCCTTTGGACAGCTTCAGCGTTAGCACGCGTTGGACCAAGGATGGAGCCTTGTGGAACTCCCACTGTGATCCTAATCGATCTCTGTCCCAGGTCTGTCTCGTAGACCAGAACCCGGTTCTGGAAATAACTCCTCAGGATCCTGTACAAGTAGTCAGGGAGCCTCATTCTATGCAGCGCTTCGGCGCTGGCCTCCCAGCTGGCGCTGTTGAACGCACTCTTGACGTCGACCGTTATCACGGCGCAATATCGATCTCCTCTCCGCTTCTGTTTGGACGCCTTCTCGATTCTCTTGACCACTGTCCGAATTGCATCCACCGTCGATCTCAACAAGCAAATGTCCGTAAAACTTATTGCCGAGTTGCTCGGCGGTGCCAAAGTTACCGAGACTCGGCAGACAACATTAAGTGTGTTGTCCAAGCCAGGCCACGTTCAATCTGCAAGCGAACGACAGCGTGGTTCTTGAATAGATTAACGCACCTCGAGTACCAGGCAGCGAACGTCACGTTGTTGGTGTCGCCATCGAACCAGAATTCTGAATGTTGATCGACGACACAATGCTGCGCAGGAAACGTTACTGGGTCGAACTCCCCAGACGAAGTTGAATCTAGAACCGCACTACCGTTCATATACCGGCGTCAACGCTCTAATGAGCCAATTAAACCCCACCCCCAAGCTCCTCCCTAATAAAATGTGTATGGTTATTTTGCTTAACGACTAGTTCGGGGATCATCCAAACCATTTGTTAAATTAGTTCTATCATTAGGGTGGTCGTTTGTACCATATATTTTTTATTAAGGCTCCCCTGATCTTATCCTTCGACAATGTACCCCTCTAACCTCGGGTAAGCCGCGAGCATTCGGCCCAACTCCTTTTACACCTAGAATTAACAATGAATTATCGGCTCCGTAAAACTAACACGATTGAGCCTTTTAAATAAACGGACATGATCGAAAGAAAACGTTACTGCTAATAATCGCTTTGCTGCTGCCGTTCGAGGAGCTGAGTTACCACCAGACGATCAGATTCTGTTGATGTTGAGCTTACTGCTTCTCCCGAGGCTTCTCTTGCAAATGTACCTACCTAATTTACCTACTTGTGAACCTGAGCACGCGATTTTATTAGTCGTATTTCCATGGTTTTCTTCGGTTCCATCTTCTTCATCTTGGACCCTGGGACGCACCGTGGACAGTATTTTGGAAGCCTCCAGTCCATTGGCGTAGCTAGACAATTTATCTGGAGGGGGCCTAGATAATTCTGAATTCTGGAGGGGACCTGCCCCCCCATTACCTACGTCTATGCTCCAGTCCTTCATACGCAGTCGTGATCCCCGCTAACATCGCTCATCGGATTCGGCCCTGCCCTGCGATCGGAAACGGACAGGGGGTCTTCCGAATCTCCCAATCAGGCGAGTATAATTCAAGATCTGTCTTGGAACATCCCCTGCCTGATGTCGTTGCCAATTCTAGATCGCAATGCAGCCCCCGCCAGGCTACTTATCGTCACAGTCAGACCATCTGCATGTATTACCAGAACGCTGGTGGGATGAATTCCAACATCGATGATTATCTCTTAGCGGTTTCGGATCGTTGCTTCGACGTCATCGCTCTCACTGAGACTGGAATTGCGTGGAGCAAGTTAGGATTGCCATTAAGCTCGCTGACCGCACTTTGTTTTTGTGTGTAGTTTACTTTCCTCCGGATTGCACTCGCGACTCTACGCTACTTGAATCCCACAGTCAGTCTATTCAAGCTATAATGGAGATCGCTACAGCTGCTGACGAGACCATTGGCGACTTCAATCTACCGGCAATTTCTTGGCGATCATCTTACGGTGGATTCCTGTATCCGGACCACGACCGTTCTACATTTCACTCTGGAGCTGTAAGCCTTTTGGATCATTACAGTATCGCCACTCTGAAGCAAATCAACCACGTGGTTAATGAGAACAATCGTAGCTTAGACCTTTGCTTCGTCACCGCATTTGTCTATGGCTGTTTCTCCGTCGATAAAGACTGTTCCACACCTCCTTTAGTTATTGCACTTGAAGGCAACCAAATTCCTGAGGTCATTCCACCCCCCAGAGGTCTTCTACGATTACCGAAATGCTGACCATGACAGTATCGGAGAACTTCTTTCGAATTTGAACCTACCTACATACAGAGAACCTACCTGACGAGCACGTTTTTCTAGCAGCCAGTAGTGTTCCAATATCTGGTCAATCTTTGGCAGCTATCAACATCGACCTCGCTATGATAACTAGGGCGGCTTCGCAACTGAAGTCTTCATTTAAGCCTGGACCTGACGGAGTTCCTTCCGTCTTTCTTAAGCAACACATCGATAGCCTGGTGGCTCCTCTCTGCCTTCTGTTCGAAATGTCCCTCTCCAGTGGGGTGTTCCATTCTTGCTGGAAATCAGCTGAGATGTTTCCAGTGCATAAGAAGGGATGCAAAAGAAACATTGACAACTATCGCAGCATCACATCGTTGTGTGCCATATCTAAACTGTTCGAGTTGGTCGTTATGGAACCATTAGTCTCTCACTTCAAGCAGCACTTGAGCGAAGACCAGCATGGTTTCATGGCAGGGCGGTCGACTACTTCCAACCTTCTGTGTCTCACCTCGTACATTACGGAGAGTATGACAGACCATATACAAACAGATGTCATCTACACTGACCTATCAGCCGCCTTCGACAAATTGAAGCATCCTATAGCGATCGCCAAACTGGATAGGCTCGGTATAAACGGCAGTCTCCTATCTATATGATCGTCAGTTGGAAGTTGCAATCGACGACTGCCGATCTCCTTCGTTCCCTGCCACTTCGGGTATTCCTCATCGCCTTCCAAGCTACGAAAGTCGTTGCCAGTTAATTCACCTGGATCCTTTGTGGAGTCGAAGAGATACGACAAGGGCTCTGTTTGTGGCAGACATTCTACAGGGCAGAATCGATTGTCCTTCTGTTCTACATCAAATCGACGTTAACGTTCAACCACGAGCGCTCCGTAACAACGCAATGCTGAGAATACCTTGTCGTCGAACAAACTATAGTTTGTATGGTGCTATCAATGGGCTACAAAGGGTTTTCAACGAGTTTTTCAATCGTGTTGCTTCCTTATTTGATTTTCACTTGGCACGCGAGACGCTGCGTCAGAGATTCCTTGTTATATTTTTAAGAATTAGGAATTAAGTTGGACTTCACGGCCTTTGCAGCTTGTTACTTCTTGACCATATTGTATTTCCTTACTTACCCTACCAATCAGGCTAAGGCCTTGTTGTCCTCTGCTGTCCGAAGACGTCGTCTCCACTCTACTCGATCCATGGCCACAGTTCGCCAGCCTCGTAGTCTGCGAAGGGTCCGCAGGTCACCTTCTACTTGGTCGATCCACCTTGCCCGCTGCGCGCCTCTTCTTCTTGTTCCTGTTAGGTCGCTTTCTAGAACCATTTTCACTGGGTCATCGTGCGGCATTCTTACGACGTGCCCAGCCTACCGTAGTCGCCCAATTTTTGCAATGTGGACGATCGATGGTTCTCCCAGCAGCTGGTGCGATTCGTGGTTCATGCGCCTCCTCCACGTTCCGTCATCCATCTGCACTCCACCGTAGATGGTACGCAACACCTTCCGTTCGAAAACACCAATGGCGCGTTGGTCCTCCACGAGCATAGTCCAGGTCTCGTGGCCGTAGAGGACCACCGAGTCCAAAGTAGGCACGATTCCCTGCCATAATGCGTCTTTGAATTTCTCTGCTGGTATCATTTTCGGCGGTCAACAGTGAGCCCAAATACACGAACTCATCGACCACCTCGATTTCGTCACCGTCAATCTGAACTCGGGGTGGGAGGCTAACATTGTCTTCCCTAGAACCGCTTCCTTTAATGTATTTTGTCTTTGATGCGTTGATGGTTCCAATCCGCCTAGCTTCAGCCTTCAGTCTGATGTCCGTTTTCCACCATCGTCTCAAAGTTCCGTGCCATGATGCCGATGTCATCGGCGAAGCCAAGAAGCTGCATGGACTTCCCGAAGATCGTGCCACTCGTGTCTATCCCTGCTCTTCTGATCACACCTTCTAACGCGATGTTGAATAGCAGACACGAAAGTCCATCACCTTCGAGATTCAAAGGGACTCGAGAGTGTCCCCGATACTCGAACAACGCACATCACTCGATCCATCGTCGCCTTGACCAATCGCGTCAGTTTACCCGGAAAGCCGTACTTGTCATAGCTGATCTCGATCGATTGTGTCGTATGCGGGTTTGAAATCGGTGAACAAATGATGTATGGGCACGTTGTATTCGCGGTATTTCTGCAGAACCTGCCAAATCGCGAAAATTTGGTCCGCGGTAGCGCGGGCACCCATGAATCCCGCCTGGTATTGCCCCACGAACTATCTTGCAAATGGTGACAGGCGGCGGCATAGAATTTGGGAGAGTACTTTGTAGGCGGCGCTCAGCAGTGTGATCGCGCGGTAGTTGCAGCAATCCAACTTGTCGCCCTTTTTGTAGATTGGGCATACGACACCTTCCATCCACTCCTCCGGTAATATCTCCTCCTCCCAAATCTTGGCAATTACCCAGTGCAGCGCTCTAGCCAGTGCTTCACCACCGTATTTTAATAGCTCACTTGGTCGTTGATCTACACCAGTTGTTTTGTTGTTCTTCAGTCGACCGATCTCCTCCTCAACTTCTTGAAGATCAGGGGCCGGTAGCCTGTCGTCTTCTGCGCGTGCTCCAAGGTCTGTTGCCGTGCCATCTTCGTTTTCTGCTGCTTCACCGTTGAGGTGCTCGTCATAGCACTGCTTCCACCTCGCAATCACCTCACACTCGTTCGTGAGAAGGTTACCGTCCAAATCCATGCACATATCGGCTTGCGGCACGTAGTCTTTGCGCGAACTATTTAGCTTCTCATATAACTTCCGTGTGTCGTTTACGCAGTACAGATTTTCCATCGCCTCGCGATCTCGGTTTTCCTGCTGACGATTCTTCCTCGGAAAACCGAGTTTTGTCTGTTCCGCGCTTGTCTGTATTGCTCCACGTCCACATTCAATCTCGTGCGGTGTTGCAGCATTCTCGCCCGTGCTGCATTCTTCTCCTCTACTAACAATTTGCATTCGCCGTCAAACCAGTAATTTATTCGGTCCGGGATTGCAGTACCTAGTGCCGCTGCAGCATTACTACCTATGGCGGAACGGATGTCCCTCCAGCCATCTTCAAGAGAAGCTGCTCTTCCGTGGGAAGTGCAACTTCCAGCTGCTGCGCGTAGTCCTGGGCTACTCCGGCGTCACGTTGTTGCTCAATGTTGGGTCGCGGCGTTCGACTTCGACGTGTGTTATGCACCGTCGAGAGTTAGGTATCTATGTGATGAACTAGCCTACGGCTAAAAATCACAAAAAAAAAGAAAAAAAAAAAAAAAAAAGTTAGGTATCTTGTATTACCTAGTATTACTTAATCCATCATTAGGACTAAACCCAGTCTGTTGATGTAGAGCCAAATAAACAAATAAATAAATACAGTCACTTATTAATACATCCCCGATTTCCTTCCAGGGAAACAATTCGCCGCCTCCAACGCCCTGACGGTACATCTGCGGTCGCACAGTGGCGAACGTCCGTACGCGTGTGATCTGTGCAGTAAGCGATTCTCGCGCCAGGAAACACTCACGATTCACAAAACTAGAAAACACTCCAACGACAAGTCGCACGTTTGTACGATCTGCCAGCGAAAGTTTTCCACCACCGAGGGTCTAACGGAACACCTGAAGAGTCAGCACGGCGATCGGTACTACCACATGTGCCCTTCCTGCGGCAAGGTGTTTGCCTCCATGCAGAGCCTAAAGGTATGGAATCCGAGTGAAGTTTGTTGCTGGTGTGATGTTACTGAAGCGGACTTATCTATTGCAGAACCATCAGAAAATGCACCTGAAGGAAGGTGATATTGCCGAGGATCAACCCCAGCCGTTGATACAGTTTGTGGTCGAACAGGAGATAGTCGGTCAAACCGTGGACTTGTCGGCACTGGAAGCGAGTACCATGGTTTCCAGTGACGATGCAATGTGATAAATTCCAATAACGAAATGTCTCTAAACGGCGAAGCAATTACCGAGGGATCTATCCGGATTCGAAATGTTCTCTGTGAGGAAGTGCTTAAAGAATTTCTCTGAAATAAAAACTCTTTCTGCAGGTAATAATTTATTCAAATGTTATGCATTTATTCCTTAAGTCACCCCCTTATTATGTCAGTGCAATGTCGTACGACCTGCTTCAGCATCATTCTCCTTTTCACTTTCATTGTAAATAATCTGTTTTCAACTTTAAATGTTCGCTTTCAGTTTCTATCCGTTGATTCTTAATATAAAAAAAAAATGTCAACTCATAGACCGATATTGCCTCCCCTTTTCTAGTGCGTAGGAAAAAAAGAAATCTTTCGTGAGCTAAAATTAGTAATTTTCTTTTCGACAAAGAAAACGGATTGTTCACTCACTTTACGTTAAAAATAAAGAAATGCACCTTACGTCGTTAAACAGAAGTCAAAGTTAACCATTCACACGCACCAACCGCATCAGCAAGTGGCAAATGAAATGCGGTGTGATGAGATTTAAAGGGTAGAAAAACGAAAGCAAATGATCTTTGTTAGTAAGCAAGTTGTGAGAAATTAAATGATCATAAAGAATGCGCAGTACTTGTCCTCTCCTTTTTATCCTAGCTTAGCAAACAGTCCGGATGTGGCCTTGGTTTTATCACCGTTGGCGGTCCTCAGTTCGGTGATCACCATCTGCCGACTGAAACCCATGGATTCCAGTTCGACGACGTCCATTTCGGAGAACCGATCTGTTGGAAGCAGTACCAATGGGATATCCTCGGCCGATTGTTGCTGTTCTGGTTGCTGTGGCTGCTGCTGCAGTTGCTGTTGACCTGATGATGTCGGGGAGCTATTGCTGCTGTTTCCGGTGTTGTTGTTTCCGCTGCTGGTGCCACTGGTCGAGGCTGAAAGGTTAAAAGAGCGAGTTGGTTTCATTAAACGGTTTCATATTAGACCAGAAGAGGCATCTTATTGAAATCAGATTTGGTGTAAATTATCGCTCGCGTGATATTACACTTACGGGATCGTCTGCGCTTCAGCTGCGAAATCGTTCCGGATGGTTGTTCGTCTTGGCTCGGGCTTGCTATTGATCCGCGTCAATTTGGAAATTTTGGTACATCAAACGTTCGATCGGAATGATACGCACAACGAGTTTTGCAAACGGGGTTATAGAAAATGTTTTAGCAAGCTATCTCCGAAAAATGTTAATGGGAAAAATGATTCGATCCACTTTTATGAGGTATCGCATGTATCAAGAAAATGTACCGGGAAGGTGGGAGACTGAATGAATTTGAAACAAACAGGAACAATGATGCAAACGTAGGCTCATTCTTAAGATCTGTTCACCCGCATAAAAGCCGCACATTTGTCGAATGCAACAAATGAAGTTGGACAAAATCGCGGGACAAATGTCGCTTGACGAAATATTGGAAAATTTTCCAAAAAGTGCTATGTTTACGTTTGCACCTTAGGCCTTTACGAAAGATCACTGTAGGAATCAGAACCGGATTTTCACCTAAATGTTATTCTATTTAAGGCTCGCTCGCACGGCCTTTTCGGTCAGGTTCCCTCATCAGCTAATTTGAAGTATGAGGCCAAAAGCTGTACTGTTTGCGAAATCGAATCCCAATTATTGCATAAATCTTTCGCATATATTCTACTCCATGTTCGTGGTCTACATATGTTGATCTCCACTAGAGCTATCTACGTAAGCTAACAGATTTATGGGTGAGGTAAGGTGGGACAAGATTGGTCAACCACTTGATTTATTTATATTTTTGTTCAGCAGGTTCATTGTAGCCCCAATGTTGGTTTGAAAAAGCAAAACGTAATTGGGGTTGCATTGAAACTGTTGATATTGACAAACAGCTACATAACCCATCTTGTCCCTCCTTATCCTAAAGTATGCTAATGGTAGGACAATCGGCAAGTATTTATACCAATTATTCTAAATAATGGAAAGGGCTATGAGAGATGTTCGACTGTCATTTTGAGTCGAACAAGCGTTAAATTTATTGATTACATTGAAATGGATTTTTGATCTCCTTCCTTCAAGGCGAATTTGTCAGTAGGTCCTGGACCACACAAATATCAAGAGCCACATGTGAAAAGGGCATACAAGCTTTTTGTAAACAAACCTTTGTAGGCCCTTTTCTCACCAACCGAGAGTTGCTCACGCAAACAAACAATATCATCGGGAAGGGTAAAGATTCCCCTACCCGATGATGATAATGGTTTGCGTTGGTGTCATATGGGTGGCGAGAAAAAGGCATAAGAAGGTTTGTTTACAAAAAGCTTGTATGCCCCTTTCACATGTTGTTCTTGATATGTCGCAATCCATAAATTGAACACCGGAAACTAACCTTGATCTTGTTGGCTCTTGGCAACCGCTTCCTTCAGAGCAAGATCCTCTGCTATTCGAGCGGATTCCGCCAGCGCCTTCTGTTCCTCTTCGGGACTGCCGGTCAGTCGGGCGCATTCCGGTAGTTCGCCTTCCGCCAAAAATCTTGTCTCCGTTCCGGTCGTTCCGATTTTCAATAAGTTATGTTTGAGATCAATGTTGCACTGTGCGCGGTAATGGGATAGGTTTAATTTTAAAGTACATAACTCTCACCCAGCAAGCTTCGCATTACCTGATGTCTTTTCAGCATATCCAGCCCCAGCAGCATATCCATCGGTTGCTCTTCCAACACCGAAAAACTCGAGGTAAGAAAATCGTTCTCAATCTGAATCTGAACCATATGGATGCGGCCAATGATCTTCTGAACGCCGACGCCCTTCGCAATGCCAGCCCATCTAGTATCGACCAGTCGCATAATGTTGCACCGTTCTGCTGCGGCGGCACTCATAATGGTCGCCTGAGCACCCGAATCGATAAAGGCCTTCACCGGATGGCCGTTGACGCGACAGTTGATGTACAGCATCACAACCGTTCCGAACGTTTCCGGATTGTACTCCATTGCGGCTTCCATATTGGCTTCGATATTCTTTTGTTTGATTTCCTCCGCAATCAGACGCTGAGCTTCGGCATCGAACGGACTGGCCTGGAGGATTCTTAACCGCTGCTGTTGCTTTTCCATTCTTTCTTGAATCTGCTTTCGCAGAACTGTGGCAAAAGTGTCCAAATTTCCTGAAAGTAAAGCTTCCGCCAGGCGTGGATTGTTCTGCTTGAGCAATGCCAGCTGATCCGGATTGGAGAGGAACATTTCACGAACGACTGACGGATCATCTTCCGGAGCTACGGTCGGCGATGGACGATTATTGTTCAGGAGCCCGGAATTACCACTACCACCGTTACCGCCGTTACCAGTGCTGCTGCTGCTAGATGCAACCGCTGTTGGAATTTGGATCGAACCAAAATCCAAACTGGCCAGCCGTGAGGGTTCTGCAAAATAGAAGCAAATCAAGATTTTAACTTAGTGAATTTCACATGGATAGGGAATTTGTTTACTGCAACCCAACTGCAATCAACTTGCGTTAATGACTATTTTTAGCAACGTAAAACGGTTGCATGAAAACTCCAGTCTGTTCGAGAATCCTCCCACTTTCGCACGAATTTGGAATGATTAATGCACATTTTTGTACTCTAAAATAAACAAAACCCACGTACTTTGAAAAATGCAGTCATAGGAAGGTGCAACGAACTTCCTTCGCTGTGGCGTTTGTTTTTTGTTTTCTTTTCTTTCTTCTTCACAACGCATTGTAAATTACCTGCCGGTTGTTGTCTAGTACGAGCAACTTGTGACGTCGGCTGGGTGGCCTGCATGATGTGCTGCAGCATTACCACGTCTCCTTCCTTAATTCCCAGCTGGGTCAGCGTCTTCTTGTCGTCCAGCAGGGGTTGCCCATTTTTCGAGATGACAATCTCCGTCGCCGGGAAGCCACTTTCAATTTCGCATAAGGCCTTGAAATTCTCCAGTTCCATGTCGTCGGAAACCTCCAGCGGAAAGGTATAATCCGCCGGTGTCGTCACAGTGACTCGCATTATTCTGGCTTACCAGTTTTCACTGAAACTCAACAAAAATTCCGAATCACAACAACACTAACACTGCACACAGCAGAGTATAGTTTGCCTGCAGCAATGTATGTCACCCTCGCACGCCACCGAACTTCGGCCGTCAAAGACTTTTCGAGAAAAGGATTTGTAAACGATTTCTTTCCACCGTCAATCTACGTTCAATCTTGACCGACCGTCAGTAGAAATCCCAGATGGCACAAATGATTTTGTTCGAAAACAAAGAATTTTGCCTGTGATGACGAGTTTTTAATCCGCAGCAGAAGCAGAGGACATTCGCCTTTTAACGTTCCCTTCGTTACCCGCTCTTCCGGAACCTGCTGCTTTCCCCTCTTTACTTTCGGACGGGGCTTGTTTTCACTGTCCAAATCAGGAATGCTGTTTTACCATTTAAGAACCGTGAAATTACATGAAAATAAAAACTTTTTGCTATCTTCTCACTCGCCCTGTGACGATGGTAATCATACAATCGTTTAACTGTAATTATCTGGCCGAAATTCGGGAAAAAATAATCTTTCCTGGCGACGAAATGCAAATACGTTGTCACCGTTAGCTCACCGACAGCTTCACTCACTGACTGGTACGCGAAATGGAATGATGACATGATGGCGATGATTGCTGATGATTGTCTCGCTCCACGATACCACAGCAGAGTCGCCATAATGCGGAAAAATATTCGGCATAGGTCCCGGTAATATTAAGTCGATGCAACAAAAAAATTCAAATATTTCCCTGAACGAAAAATCATTATGCCATATGAATCGAATGATTTTTATTGGGATATTTCTGTAAAAGCTCAGCGCAGATGTCGCAACTGCATGACGATGATCGTATTGAGCGCTGCTCGTAAAATACGTGATAATAAGCATTAAATCCATTCGACAGCCATTACTCGTAACCATCGGACATGATTTCTTTCTGCTCTGCTTAAGGTGATACTCTGGGGAAGCCTTGGCGTGGGTTTGAGATTGCTACTCCTTGTTTGCTGTGCAACTACAAGCAGAGAGTAGCAGGGTAGCAGTTTTAACATTCAAAGTGTTTTTATGTTACTTCATACGCGAAGTTAACGATTTTCAGAGTTGGTTGGAAATGCTAACATGAAGCTTTAGTGTGATGATTTATTAGCTAGAGAATGATCTTTAGAAGAGGGTAGGTGGATAGTTCCGTTAGAGTACGGCAGTATGAAAAATGGAATAGAAGTTGAAAATGAGCGAAGGGCCATTAATGCGACAGTTTTTAGAGATAGACGCACACACAACTGTCGCATTAATGGCCCTTCGCTCATTTTCAACTTCTATTCCATTTTTCATACTGCCGTACTCTAACGGAACTATCCACCTACCCTCTTCTAAAGATCATTCTCTAGCTAATAAATCATCACACTAAAGCTTCATGTTAGCATTTCCAACCAACTCAGCAGTTTTAAATTTGTGTGTTTTGTGGGTGCTGACATTTGTGCCTTTGAAGTTTCACGCTGTGGCTTCCTTGGAGTATCACCTTAACTTGGTGAAATATTGGGTCGTATGAATAAAATAGTTTACTCTACTTTCACCATAAGAAAAGCACCGGGAAGTAAAGTAAACTCATTTTACTCATACACAGCAAAAAAAGTTGTTGAATATTACATCGAAACTGCTGCAACCAGGTCAATCCATCGGTTGTGTAATATCACATTGTACAATGTACATCGATTTTGCGAACAAAATTACATCCATTGATGTAATATTGTATCTGCGTTTTGCTATTACATCATTATTTCATACATCAGCTTGAATTACGTTGATCGATATTACATTTTTTTTTTGCTGTGTATGGGCCATTGTAGCGAAAATGAGTGTAGTTCATAAAAACACACTTGTTGTTGACTTCAGTGTCCTTCCAGTTCGTCCCAATGCGGGAAAAGTGCAAAAATTCTTCGAGAACAATATTAAGCTTCAATATTTGGACGTTAGATGCATTCAGTTTCATAACGTCCGAAATTGTGTTTTTATTGAGATGATAGACAATGAAGTTGCCTTGCGCTATGAAAAGGCGCACAACTATAAACATTAAACGATTCTCTGTGCGAAGAGTGAGTTCAAAATCCCGGTATATGTGGATTGTGAAGTAGTGACCGTTCGAGTGCATGACCTTCCTCTGACATGGCCACAAGCCACTGTTATGAACCACATGTCACAGTACGGGACAGTGATTTCCAGTCGACGTGAGAAATGGAAGCACTACTTCCCAGGATTCCTGAGCGGTGTTCGAGTTTTGCGAATGTGACTCGAAAGTGCCATTCCATCGTACATCACGGTCGACAACGAAACAACGTTGGTAACGTACGACAAGCAACCAAAAACGTGCCCCCATTGTGGCCGAGCAGCACATCCCAAACAGAAATGTTTGGATGTAGCCACATCGAAAAATAGCACCGCTCCAGCAGCTCCACCAACCACGTATTCAGCATCGCTAGAGTTACCTCTATGGTAAGATTACACAACCAGGGAATGACCTCTGTGCAGATGTTTGGATGTAATATTAATTTTTTTTCTGTATGCATAGTATTGTATGGCTGTGGTTTGCGGAGCGAATCCTGGATGAAGAGCCACCGTGTGTGAAAGCAAGGAGCGCAGTCGTACCATAGAGGTAACTCTAAGACTACTGGGTCCCGAAGAAAATCATTATTATTTTTGGCTCACTCAGTACCAGAACAACGGTCCCAAGCAGTCCCAAGCTATTTCACTCACCCCTGCATGTTCTGCATGAATCCACACACCCCTGATGTTATCTGTCAAACTTTCATAGCGAATCAAAACATACATAGTGTAGTAATAGAATTTCAACTAGAATAGGGTACGTTAATCGTTTGCTTGGGACCAATAGGCTACTAAAGTGGTGAGCCAATTTAAAATCGTTAGTTTCGTATTGATTGTTGGTCGTACTCTAAGACTAGTAGGTCCCGAAGAAAAGTGTTCAACTTTTTGGCTCAGCTCTGGTACTATCTTCGGTCCCAAGCTAATCGATTCACCCCTCGAAACATAGGAATATCCACTAACCCCTCATTTTATCTGTCAAGCTTTCATAGCGAATCAAAACCGATCAAAACAAACATTGTGTAGTAGTAGAATTTTTACTAGAATGTGATACGTTAATCGATTTGCTTGGGATCAATAGGCTAGTCAAGTAGTGAACAATTTAAAATCTTCAGTTTCCACCGGTTGGTCGTACGGCCATAAATAGAGAACAGATGGTATCTTGAGAAATTGTCCTATACCACACGCAATATTTAAAAACTTAAAAGAAAATCCCGGGAGTGCATTCAGCACCTCAGCCCGGTGGGATTTCTCTCATTTTTCTCACGGATCACCCCTTGAACCACGTTTGGCGTTCGCGTTGTTTTGGTTTTGCATGTAATTTTTGCAGCTTGTGCTTCTGTGCGTATCTCAACTTTTATATACGGTCGATTTCTTAGGATTATTTGGAAAAAAGTTGACGAAAAAACGGTAAAAATGTCCAAGCGAACCGCTGCGGAGGTTGCTGAAGAGGACAACTATCTGGACGATCTGGTCCGGGACAAGCAGAGCAGCCGGCCATCAACCAGTAAGCATACCCTAGATTCCGACGAGGAAGACAGCGGCGACGATGAGGCTCAGTGAGTATGATTTCTGATTACCAGTGAAAATTTCCAAGGACTTTTCTCTAATACTTATTCTTTCGTCGTAATACCTCTAGATACAACGTGTTGGATGCAAATGATATCGAAGGTGAAGAGGAAGGAATCGCCCGCGTCGACAATGAAATGAAATTCACCCCGTTCAACATGAAGGAGGAAATGGAGGAGGGGCATTTCGATGCAGATGGGCACTATCTGTGGAAGAAGGGAGCGGAAATTCGAGACAATTGGTTGGATAACATTGACTGGGTCAAAATAAAGAACGATCCAAACTATAAGGAGAAAAAGGAAGCAGAACTTAAGGGATTGGCAGATTCTGATTCGGAGGACGAAGAAGATGAAAAAGGGACAGGATTTGATTCCTCAAAGACTTATCAGAACATTTTGGATATGATGGAACCAAAAGAGACCATTAAGAAGGCTCTGCAGAGGATCGGTAAAAAGACCGCAAAGTTAACAACGGCACAACGCTGGAAGATGAAAAAGGCTGGCACCTTGGATGATTCCAGTGAAAAGGTCACCCGATTGACCGAACTGGCCAATGAGATTCTCACTCGGGAAGGCAATATGGACATTTATGATGAGACTTACGAAATGATACAGAAGAAGGTCAATAACTCTAAATCGGCACCGACGGATGATCTGGATATGTACGCAGATGACTTCGACAACAAGGAAAAGAGCAAGCTAAAAGATGATGACCCAAAAGGGTCGTCCAGCGATGATAAGCCCAGCACGTCAACAAGCCAGCAGGAAGAAGGTAAGAAGATTTTAATGTGGGAATATAAGGAACAGCAGGATGCAGAAAAGATCCACGGTCCATACACTACCGAGCAGATGCAACAGTACGCAGACGAGGGTCGTTTCAGCAGTGGTGCGTTTGCCAGGAAGGTGGACTCGAATGACTCGCGCTTTTACTCGGCCGCTAGGATTGATTTCGATTTGTATTTGTAAGGGATGAGCGAAATAAAATCAATTCTGTTAGTGTAAGCATATGGAATGCTCGGAGAAGCGAATAGCGAAAGAAATCCTGAAAATTCATAGGAACTTTTATAGAATATGGGATTGATCTGGGCCTTCCGTTCCGTTAGCTTATGGCCAATTAAGTGCTCAGCCTTAAAAGAGGATGGAATTGTTTTTTTTTTAATTACTTGTTTATAGAGGAGGTCGGTGGGATTTTTCTGAGGTATAAAAATCTCTGGTCACGTCTTCCTTCGGAAGGGAAGTAAAGCTGTTGGTCCCGGCCCATGTGTGTTGAATGGGTACGATATCCTACGCAGGTGTGGAAGCTGCCTTACTGCACATTCGATTGCCGTCAATGGATGGCAATCGATGTCCGTCGGTGATTGGCACTAGATTGCGGAACAGAGACCGACGTTAAATAAAGAAAAAAAGAATTATGTTATTGAAATTTTTAGCCGTATAGGCTAATTCATCTCAGGGATTGTTTTACGTTTTCCCGGGACATACCAGCAGTTACAGGGCGTCAGAAAATCGGGAAACTTCTATCTGTAATTATCTTGCCAATCAAATTTTCAAGAAAATCTTTTAAAGTAAAATACTTCAAAAATATTCTCAGGAAGTCCAGCACATTTTGTAATGCAGCTAGTGTAGATCCGCAATCAAAATCTGGAAGCATCCCTGAAGTTCCGGGAAAGTTGAAAAAACTAGCAAGAGAAGATGGAAGAACTATTCGAGGCGAAGGATGAAGAAGCTTCCAATGGAAGTTGAAATAAGTTTCCGAGAGGAATCGTAAAATAATTAACGATGTAAGGTGAAAGAAAATCCAGGAACTTAAATAATGCTTAAAAAGTATTTTTTGATTCCCCCGGAATTACCAGAAAGAGCCATCGACAGTTTATCGATTCATGGGTAGCCAAAAATGGTGAGGAAATTGAAACATTAATCGGCAGAGTATCCATAATAAATTTTTGAGGATGATTTTTTTTTTAGAATTTTAAAGGCTAAAAAAAATTGAGATATTCAAAAAGATACAAGTCTCTCACGATAATTTTCTACGAAATTCTGAGCGCGGGCAATTAATACTTATTTTGATTATTTAAAAAAAAATCGGTATAAAACCTCAAAAATCGGTATTCTGAGGAACTTTATCTGTACACCGGTATCTAATTCGAAAATCGGTATAAATACCGATAAATCGGTATATCTGGCAACGCTGACCAACATACACCTTCCGGTCGTATGAAGCAGATCAAAAACTGTCCAAATCCGCCCATACATTATTTTGTTTTGAATTTCTGTATGGCAAAATAGTGAACTTTTCGTGGGGGAGGTAGCTCATCGATTCTTCCGGTTCGCCTCCTAGCATCGTGCTATAAGGTACCAGGCGATAACCAGGGTAGTTTATAGTTGCTATATTTATAGTCTAGCGGATAGAATTTCGATCTATCAAAAAGCGGAACCAATTCAACATATTGTAGACCAGCAATTGAAAAGGTACTATCAACTTTTATAAACAAAACGTTGATGGTTCTTTCCTCGCCAATCGAAGGTAAATTACCAGCTTCATCGGATAGGGGAAACTTTCCACAGCCTAAAGATGGTGTTAGTTTGCGTAGGTGAGCCTTGAGTAACGAGAAAACGGTTTCCGAAGGTTTGTTCGCAATAACTGATGTGCTCTTTTCTGTTGTTTATCGTAATTTGCTCGATTGGTTCCGCTATTTGACACCTCAATTAGTTCCCGAGATTCTATCCGCCAGACTATGAATATAGCGACTATAGGGTAGTTGATCGATAGCTCGATGACGTCATTTTGTTGGCGTCTGCAATGGGAAATTCTCATAGCAGGCGTTGTCGATGGGACGTTGTCGAGTTGTTGAAGAGCAACTATCGTGGTAACTCACCGATTACCTGTCGATCTGCCAAATTTGGAAAGACGTCTACATTGAATTGTCTCATATAATAATATTCCGCCCACTATATCACAAGAAATTGCGAGTAGCTGAGTGGAATGGAGATAAATTAAGCATTGGGTACAGGACCAAGTCTCCCCTGGGTGGTGCCAAAAGATGAGCGCAATAGAATCATCAAGTTGCCATAAGGCACGGAATGAGACTATTGCATGGCTGGGTAGTCAAAGTCTTCCATTCGTTAGTCATTTCAGGTGGATTAGAACAGGTTTAGGTTTAGGGTGGGCGTTGGCCAGATTTGGATTTTTCAGATATAATCCTAAATAGGACCTAGATTATTTAATACACTAGTAACCTCAACCTCTGTTACAATGTTTCATAGTGATTATTCACCACATTTAATGGGTGAATATCAAATTTGCGGTAAATTTGAAAAAAGGGAACTTGGAGTGTAGAGCGCACTGCCCACTAGACGATTCTGAAGCCTGGCCAAGTGAGTGGGGTATGGGTTTATTTGATTGAACGTCATTTCCAATGCATATATCGATACATTCAAACCATTGGCATTTGAGATAAGACAGAGATAGGATGCGGAGGGCCCGCTTAGGGGAAGCGTAACCCATGTTATGGTTTCCATTTATTAAATAGTTCAGAAAGGCTGGAAATGACAGGTTCATAGTAAGAAAATGTACCATATGGGGCCCGTTCACTGATCAAAATCAGACTCACATCGTCAGACCCTGCCCAAGAGTAAGGGGATTGACGATGTCTCGTCAAGTTTTATTTTTGAATTTGCGTTTTGCATTTAATACTCTAGTAAATCTCGCGTCCGTGCTCATTCACTACAGTGTGATGTGTCAATACTCACTGGGTTATATGTCTTAGACCAGTTCCAGATTAGTTTGCCATTAATATCTTCTGCATCTTCGCGATAGATTACTAAAAATGGGTTCTCGTTTCCGACCATAATAGTGTGAGGGAAGGGGGTGAGTTATGAGAGCGAATAGAGACAAATAAATAGGGAAGACAACACCATGACCCAAATAAGTAACCAATGCATGCGGCTCACACTTAACTTGTTCTATTTCTTCCTTTATTCCTATCATGTACTAATATTAACTGCCTGAGGACAAATGGGAACACAGCCAAAAGTTCAATAGGAGAAAAGTAGTAAGAAGGATCGAACAAAAAAAAGAAGAATTAAACTTGCACCGGCAAGAGGAAGCAGACAGAAAGGATCATGCCGGTTGGAGACAGCCAAGGTATACTGGACGAAGCTTGTATCTAGGAAAAGTCGTATGTGCAGGAAACCGTAAGTAGGACAAGAATCGTAAAAGGTGTGTGCTTGCTTGATAAGATCCTAACTTTACTTTAAATACACGGTAGGAATCGAATATCCATTTATGATTGGGGTTTTGCCCATTTTTCAGTGGGAGTGGCTAAACTCATTGATGAGTGATTTATCGTACCCATTTATTAGTAACTGTTAGCAGCTAATGGTTAATTGTTAAAAGAATTCACTCATTAATGAGTGGAGCAGCTTTTATTGGGGTTGTGTTGGGTTTTACCCATAGATGGGTATTTATTATTACCGTGTATGGATGCCGAAGGTTTGTTTTAGGTTTATGGTTTATTTTATTTTTCGATTGACAATTCTTATAGCTAACAAAATTTCATATCACTAACACAAGCAAATCGCACCAATAAGAATACGCCTGGAGAGAACTATGGGCACACACAGACTGACAGAAGCTTACATGATAATACCTAAGATGTAGAGGAGACAACTGGATTCTAACTCTTACTCTTTTATCTCTATCTCACTTCAAATCGGCCAATCACGAGCTGGTTCAAAATTGACAGAAAAGTGGTTCGTTTTAGCCCCCGTATTGTCTCCTCTTCTCTTAGGATAATACCACAAAATAAAAAAGTCACACAATCGCTAGCAAAGTCAAAAAGTCACATGGTACACACGCAACACTTGCAAAGTCGGGAAATAAGTTGAGGTTAGGTGAAAGTGCCAAACACAAAAAGTAAAGCGCAGTTGGATGAGTTTATTTGGATGCCGTGGTGCTCATAGTTTGATGCAGGAACATAATTTGCTGATGCTAGTAAGGACCTTATACAGTCTATAAAAATATCCATCTAAATAATATTTCAAATAATAGTAAACATGGAAACCGAGCTAGTTCATGTTGATGAGGGAATCGTGGAAGTGTTGCGAATACCAGGAGATGGAAATTGCCTGTTCTCATCGCTAGCGCATCAGATATGGAAATGTAATGCAAACACATTGACTGGGCAGCTTTATGCCAGAACTTTGCGCACAATGGTCGGACAATTCTACCAAAGACGGTTAAATTAATGGACGGAACAATTATATGCACACGCGATCATTGCATTACCACAACAGGCCGAGGAAACAACACGCGACGAGCTGGTGGAACTCTTCCTATCTTCCATTTCGAAACCAGGATTCTGGGGAGGAGAGGAAAGCTTAGTAGCGATTGCACGAACTTTCGATTTTGCAATAAGGATTTACAGAGAAAAAGGATGTAGCAGAGTCATAAATGAGAACGGAATGCGCTGTCTTGAAATCATTTATCGCTCTTCAGGCACAGCGGAGTACAACCATTACGATAGTGTGATGAAACTGCATACAGCTAGAAAGCGTCGTCGCCTGACCTTCAATAATACAGTGGCCGCCTCCTTGGGTGCTCCGGAAATAACCTCCACGAGCATACAAGATCTTGGTATCGTGGTATCGGATGGTACCTCAAGTATCACGCCAACGCGCACACATTTTCCTTTACAAGAAGTACAGGCTTTTCAACAAATAGCTCCCACAGTTGCCCAAGAAGTAACTCAGCAAACCATATCCATTCGTGAGAGCACACCAGTACCACCTCGAACTTTCATTGCTGCTACCTGGAATGTATCGGGATGCTCACAGGTCTGTGACCGCGATACCATAGATCGCCTTTTAAAGGATCAAGAAGTGCAAGTCGCTTGCCTTCAGGAGACGCGCATGGCATTATGCACAGTCCAAACTTTGAATTTCACGTGGTACAACTGTTGGTACAACGTTAACCAACAAACGAAAACAGCAGCAAGAATGGG